ATCTACAAGGGAAGACAGATCAGGTTTGCAGCAGACCTATGCACAGAAACTTGGCAGGCCAGATAGGAATGGCAGGATATATTCAATGTACTGAATCAGAAAAATATGCAGCCAAGAATTCTTTATTCAGCAAAGCTGTCATTCAAAATATAAAGAGAGATAAACAGTTTCCCAGACAAACAAAAATTAAAGGAGTTTGTGACTACTAAACGAGCCCTCCAAGAAATTTTAAGGGCGACTCTCTGAGGGGAGAAAAGACAAACAAAACAAAACAAACCCTAAAAAAATACATAAAGACCAAAAGCAACAAAGACTAGAAAAGACCAGAGAACACCACCAGAAACTGCAACTCTACAGGCAACATAACAGCAATCAATTCATATCTTTCAGTACTGACTCTAAATGTCAATGGACTCAATGCTACAATCAAAAGACATAGGGCAACAGAATGGATAAGAAAACAAGATCCATCTATATGCTGTTTACAAGAGATGCACTTCAGACCTAAAGACACCTTCAGATTCAAAGTAAGGGGATGGAGATCCATCTATCATGCTATTGGTTGACAAAAGAAAGCCAGAATAGCCATACTTAAATCAAACAATCTAGACTTTAAAATAAAGACTGTAACAAGAGATGAAGAAAGGCATTATATCATAATTTAAGGGGTCTACCCACCAAGAAGACCTAACAATTGTAAACACTTATGCTCCAAATGTGAGAGCACCCAAATACATAAATCAATTAGTCACAAATGTAAAGAAATTCATAGATAATAATACCATAATAGTAGGGGACTTCAACACCCCACTTACAACAATGGAAAGATCATCTAATCAGAAAATCAACAAGGAAACAATGGCTTTGAAGGACACAATGAACCAGATGGACTTAACAGATATATTCAGAACATTTCATCCTAAAGCAGCAGAATATACACTCTTCTTCAGTGCACATGGAATGTTCTCCAGTATAGATCACATACTGGGACACAAATCAGCCCTCAACAATTACAAAAAGATCGAGATCATACTGTGCATATTTTCAGACCACAATGCTATGAAACTCGAAATCAACCACAAGAAAAAATTTGGAAAGGTAACAAACACTTGGAGACTGAAGAACATCCTATTAAAGAATGAATGGGCTAACCAGGAAGTCAAAGAGGAAATTAAAAAGTACATGGAAGCCAATGAAACTGATAACACCAGACCCCAAAACCTCTGGGACACAGCAAAGGCGGTCATAAGAAGAAAGTATATAGCAATATAGTATATAGTATATACTATATATATATATATATATATATATATATATATATATAGTATATACTAGTATATACTAGTATATATAGTATATAGTATATAGCAAAATATTATATAGCATAAGAAGAAAGTATATAGAAAGGGACCTTTCTCCCTAAAGAAGGAAGAAAGGTCTCAGAGAGACAACCTAACCTTACACCTTAAAGAGCTAGAAATAGAACAGCAAAGAAAACCCAAAACCAGCAGAAGACAGAAAATAATAAAGATTAGAGCAGAAATTAATGCTACTGAAACAAAAAAAAAAAAAAACCAAAAACAAACAAACAAACAAACAAACAAACAAAAAAACCCAAAACAGATCAATGAAATCAGAAGCTGGTTCTTTGAAAGAATTAACAAAATTGATAAAACACTAGCCAATTTGATCAAAAAGAAAAAGGACACAAATAAAATCAAGAATGAAAGAGGAGAGATCACAACCAACACAGCAGAAATAAATAAGAAAATATTATGAGCAATTATACACCAATAAAATGGGCAATCTGGAAGAAATGGACAAATTCCTAGAAACATATAAACTACCAAAGTTCAAACAGGAAGAAACAGAAAATTTGAACAGACCCATAATCAGTAAAGAAATCGAATTAGTAATCAAAAATCTCCCCCAAAACAAGAGTCCAGGGCCAGACAGCTTTCCAGGGGACTTCTACCAAACATTTAAGGAAGAGTTAACACCTATTCTCTTGAAGCTGTTCCAAAAAATAGGAATGGAAGGAAAACTTCCAAACTCTTTCTATGAAGCCAGCATTACCTTGATTTCAAAACCAATTCCAACAATACGTTAAAAAAAGTATCCATCACGATCAAGTAGGATTTATACCTGGGATGCAGGGCTAGTTCCATATCTGTAAAACAATCAATGTGATTCATCACATCAGTAAAACCAAGGGTAAGAATCACATGATCCTCTCAACAGATGCAGAGAAAGCATTTGAAAAAATACAGCATTCTTTCTTGATAAAAACCCTCAAGAAAACAGGGATAGAAGGATCATACCTCGAGATCATAAAAGCCATATATGGAAGACCCAATGCTAATATCATCCTCAATGGGGAAAAAGTGAGAGCTTTCCCCCTAAGGTCAGGAACAAGACAGGGATGTCCATTCTTGCCACTGTTATTCAACACAGTATTGGAAGTCTTCGCCTCAGCAATCACACAACACAAAGACATAAAAGGGATCCAAATCAGCCAAACTTTCACTCTTCGCAGATGACATGATACTCTATATGGAAAATCCAAAAGATTCCACCAAAAAACTGCTAGAACTGATTCATGAATTCAGCAAAGTGGCAAGATAGAAAATCAATGCACAGAAATCGGATGCATTCCTATACACCAACAATGAAGCAACAGAAAGAGAAATCAAGGAATTGATCTCATTTATAACTGCCACCCAAAACCATAAAATACCTAGGAATAAATCTAACCAAAGAGGTGAAAAATCTATACACGGAAAACTACAGAAAGCTTATGAAAGAAATTGAAAAAGACACACAAACAAAAGGAAAAATATTCCATGCTCCTGGAGAGGAAAAATAAATATTGTTGAAATGTCAATACTACCCAAAGCAATCTACAGATTCAATGCAATCCCTATCAAAATAACACCAGTATTCTTCACAGAGCTAGAACAAATAATCCTAAAGTTTGTATGGAACCAGAAAAGACCCCGAATAGCCAAAGCAATCTTGAAAAAGAAAACCAAACCAGGAGGCATCACAATCCTGGACTTCAGGCTGTATTACAAAGCTGTCATCATCAAGACAGTATGGTACTGGCACAAGAACAAACACTCAGATCAATGGAACAGAATAGAGAACCCAGAAATGGACCCAAAAACGTATGGCCAACTAATCTTTGACAAAGCAGGAAAGGATATCCAATGGAATAAAGACAGTCTCTTCAGCAAATGATGCTGGGAAAACCCGACAGCGACATGCAGAAGAATGAACCTGGACCACTTTCTTATACCAGACACAAAAATAAACTCAAACTGGATGAAAGACCTAAATGTAAGACAGGAAGCCATCAAACTCCTCGAGGAGAAAGCAGGCAAAAACCTCTTTGACCTTGGCCGCAGCAACTTCTTACTCAACACGTCTCCGGAGGCAAGGGAAACAAAAGCAAAAATGAACTACTGGGACCTCATCAAAATAAAAAGCTTCTGCACAGCAAAGGAAACAATCCGCAAAACTAAAAGGCAACCGACGGAATGGGAGAAGATATTTGCAAATGACAAATCAGATAAAGGGTTAGTATCCAAAATCTATAAAGAAGTTATTAAGGTCAACACCCAAAAAAACAAAGAATCCAGTGAAGAAATGGGCAAAAGACATGAATAGACACTTCTCCAAAGAAGACAGCTAGATGGCCAACCAACACATGAAAAAATGCTGAACGTCACTCATCATCCGGGAAATGCAAATCAAAACCACAATGAGATACCATCCTACACCTGTCAGAATGGCTCACATTAACAACTCAGGCAACAACAGATGTTGGCAAGGATGCGGAGAAAGAGGATCTCTTTTTCATTGCTGGTGGGAATGCAAGCTGTTGCCGCCACAAACAGTATGGATGCTCTTCAAAAAATTAAAAATAGAATTATCTTACGACCAAGCCATTGCACTACTAAGTATTTATCCAAGAAATAAAGGGATGCTGTTTCGAAGGGGCACATGCACCCCAATGTTTACAGCAGCACTATCAACAATAGCCAAAGTATGGAAAGAGCCCAAATGTCCATCGATGGATGAATGGAGAAAGAAGATGTGGTATATATATACAATGGAGTATATTACTCGTCAATCAAAAAGAATGAAATCTTGTCATTTGCCACTACGTGGATGGAACTTGAGGGTATTATGCTAAGCGGAAAAGCGAAATTAAACAGTCAGATAAAGACAAATATCATATGACTTCATTCATATGAGGACTTAAGACACAGAAGGGATAAACACAAGGGAAGGGGAGGGAAGCAGGGAGGGATGTGGGATTTTGGGAACATGGAGGGGGACAAAACATAAAAGACTCTTCAATATGGAGAACAAACAGAGGGTTACTGGAGGGGTTGTGGCAGGGGGATGGGCTAAATAGGTAAGGGCATTAAGGAATCTACTCCTGAAATTATTGTTGCACTATATGCTAACTTGGATGTAAATTAAAAATTAACAAATAAAAAACAAAAACAAACAAACAAACAAAAACCACTCAGGGGTTCAGTGATTTGCTCTAAGTCAGACAGCTGTCAACAGAGTGAAGTTGACACTCTATTAGGTCTGTTTGACCTGGAAACCTATGTTTTTCCTATTAGGTTGCAAGATGCAGCTCATAGGTGACAGGACTGAGGAGGAAACACAGCTGGTAAGAGGGCTGAGCTGGGGTTCAAATTCAGGGCATGCGGTGAGAGTCCAAAACTGCGTTTTCCAACCCCATACACGTTGTTTCCTTTCAAGGGTTTTCAGCCCGTCTCATCTCTCCGAGCACCCTGAGGTCTTGGGGATGTGTTTCGAGTTTCCGTTTCACCCCTGGAAGGCACCCAGAACGGAGTTCAGCCTTGCCGAGGAGGTAGGCTGGCCGCCCCTCGACCCCCACCCTGGGCGGCCGTCGGCCCCAAATGTGAACAGCAGGCGGCTCTGCACCCGCTGCCGCCAGCCGGCCGGGTGCCGCCTACCTGTCGCGGGGCGGTCAGGGTCCCGTCCACGTCGAAAAGGCATAGCGCTGGGCCAGACGCCGCCATGTCCCCCGTTTCCAGCCGCACTTGATGAGACTCGTTGGCAACCAGGAACTCGGCCCGGAACTTCCGGGCTCGGCCCCCGTGCCACAGGGCACGCTGGGAGAAGGAGGATCCATTCCCACGTGTCTGGGACTAGAGTCAGTTGGTCTTTAGGAACCACAAATCCCAGAATGCAATGCGTCGACACGCCGACCTCCTACGGCCGACCAGACCCTCTTAGAGGTTCCGGGGGCGGGGGGAATCACTTCCGGCGGCAGGTATCCGCGCGATGGTAAGAAGGCGGGTGAGGGGAAGTACGGGGGGTGAAGCGCCTTGGGGGTCGTGGTCAAGGTTAGGCAGGGAGGCAGGCGGATTTCTGGGGTTCTGATTTGGAGGATCCGCGGGAGGGAGCTCCGGCATGGGTTAAGGCTTGCTGTGCCGCGCCTTTCTACGCCCGGGCCACGTGGGCCGACAGGGCACTCTCCGATCATCACAAACCTGGGGTCCATTGAATGTATTTGAGAGCTTTGAAACCATGATCTCATGTGGTATGTTGTGAACCCCCATTGTGAAAGGGGAAGAAACCGAGGCCCAGAGAAGTGATGTAACTTACATCACTTACAAGGAGCTACAGCTAGTGACTGACCCCCAAGTCCAAAGCATCTGTCCCTGCCCTACTCAGGGTGTAGAACGGTGCACCTAATAAAAACCTTGTGCTGTGGGTTGGCGCCTCCCATCCCCGCCTGCTTTGGTCTTCCCCCTCCCCCAAACAGGGCTAAGAAATCAGCGGTTCCCTTCAGCACCGAAGATGGTGCTTTAACCTGACAGAATGGGGAAGTTATTATGGTAAGTATCGCAGAGATTTGTTACCCATTTGGACATTTGTTGTTTGGCTTCCTGCTGGGGAAAACGTTCATATAGCCTTACGTCTTCAGTGCCCAGCCCAGAGCTGGTCGTCCCTAGATACGTGTTGAATGAATGAAGGCTGTGTCGCCTTTCTTGTACCTCTTTGAACTCCCTGAAGGATATAGGACCAGTTTGGGGGTCAGACTCTGCCACACTCACTGGGTGTGCGTCTTTGGGTATGTTTCTAGCCTTCTCTGGGTTTAGTTTTCTCCGTGGTAAAGTACAGTTGACCCTTGAACAATGCGGGTTTGAACTGTGTGGGCCCACTTCTTCGCAGATTTAAAAAAATACGTATGTTGTGAAGTTTTTTTTGGAGATTTGCTCCAATTTGAGAAAACCAGCAGATGAACTGCATAGCCTAGGAATACTGGAAAAAAAAAAAAAAGATGTATCATGAATGCATAAAATATATGTAGATGCTAGTTTATCATTTACTTCCATGAAGCATACACAAGTTTGTTACAAAAAGGTTTATCAAAATGTACAGACTGTACATGGCATCATTCATAGTTGAGAGAAATGGAAACAAAGATGCAGTGTTAAATAACTGCATAAAATTAACTGCAGTACATACTCTACGACTGTAAGAATATCATAGTCACCTCCTCTTGCTGTGGTGATCTCAAGTGTTGTGATTTCCAAGCTTAAAACCGTGTGTTGCTAATCCTCTCCGCGATATCAGTTCGTCACTTGTAAATTTCAAATGGCTGTAAAAAGTGATCCCGTGGTTCTTGCATATTTTTCATCATGTTTAGCATAATACTGTAAACCTTGAATAACACCATGGGACCCATACGAAACGCCACTGGTGATTCTGGAAGTGCTCCCAAGAGGCAGAGAAGGGTCATGACATTACAAGAAAAAGTCGAATTGCTTGACATGTACCGTAGATTAAGGTCTGCGGCTGCAGTGGCCCGTCATTTCAAGATGAATGAATCCAGCGTAAGGACCATTGTAAAAAAGGAAAAGGAAATCCGTGAGGCTGTGGCGGCAGCTACGCCAGCAGGCGCGAGAACGTTGCACTTTCTGCGAGACAGCTTTTTATCTCGTATTGAAAATGCAGCTTTTACGTGGGTGCAGGATTGCTATAAGAAAGGCATACCTATAGACTCTAACACGATTCGAGAAAAAGCAAAGTCATTGTATGACCACTTACAGCAAAAGGAAGGTGAAGGATCCAAGGCTGGAGAATTTAGTGCCAGCAAAGGATGGTTTGATAATTTCAGAAAGCGGTTTGGCTTAAAAAATGTCAAGATAGCAGGGGAAGCAGCTTCCCCCGCCCAAGAGGCAGTAGATGAGTTGCCACCTCAGGCGCCCAGAGTCACCACACCAGAGGAGTTAACAGAGGGTGAGTCGGCGGAGGCGAGAGCTTCCGGACCGGTGCCGGATGAAGATGCGCGAGAAGCGGCTCCAGAAAACAAGTTGACGTTAGACAACCTGGCAGAAGGGTTTCGATTATTCAAGACGGCTTTTGACTTCTTTCACAACATGGACCCTTCTGTGATACGGGCACTGAGACTAAAGCAAGTGGTGGAAGAAGGGCTGGTACCATATAGAAACATTTTTAGAGAGATGAAGAGGCAGAGAAGTCAAACGGAAATTACAAGGTGTGTCCGTGAAGTTACACCGGGTGTGCCTGCCCCTCTTGCCTCCTCTTCCACCTCCTCTAGCTCTGCCTCCGCCTCCCCCGAGACGGCCAGACCAGCCTGTCCTCTGCCTCGCCCGCAGCCTGCTCAGCGTAAAGATGACGAGGACGAAGACCCCTCCCACGTAATAAATACTAAATAGTCGTCATGCCGTACGGTTAAACTGACCTGTTGTGTGTGTGTGTGCGCGAGCGTCTCCGTGTGAAAATCTGGTAACTGTACGGCAGGAACTGTGTAGGACTGCATCATCGCCTGGGTATTCATTGGGCAGGACGTCATATGCAAGATTCGCCCGCAAGTGGATGGCCTGTCCTTAGAGGCATAAGGTGGGTGATAATTTAATATAAAATTCATGATGTGTCTTACTGTTTTGTCACGTTGCTCTCAAAGAGTTACGTTGGGGTCCAGTATGCCCCCCTCTCCTATCTGGAGAGACGGCATATCAGCCTATCATCACAGCTAAGTGGTTTTTTAAAAAACAGTGTTTCTGGTAGTGTGTATTATGAATCCAACTGGAACACGGTAGGCCACGAAAACTTTCTAACCATTCATTCCTTAGTGTATAGGCGAGGCCCCTGTGAAACAGCCGTATGGTTACACAGGGTTACACTAGGCTACCATCAAAGGATCCTACTAGTGCGTCTTTGTTATCAATCCTTGAATCATCCTACTTATAAATAAATAGGCATCGCCCTTATTACCTATTTTTGTGTCTAGTGTTGGCAGGTAACAAAACACCTGTTGATGTTTCGTATCCTGTAAGGCAGTATTGATTTATGTACTGACAGACGATTCATCTTGTGAACAACGTAAACTGAATGGTCTGGATGATACAGTACAGCTCCGTAAATGTGTTTTCTCTTATGGTTTTCGTAATCTCGTTCTTTTTTCTAGCTGACTTTGCTGTAAGGATACGGTGTATGATACATGTAATACACAAAATATGTGATAATCGACTTAACGGTTTAGGTCCTGGTCAGCCGTAGGCTATTAGTAGTTAGGTTTTTGAGGAGTCAAAAGCTCCATGTGGATTTTTGACTGCATGGGGGTGGCCATCCCTCACGCCTCCGTTGTTCAAGGGTCAACCGCAGGGGGCCCCTGTCTTGCACCGCTTGTATGAAGATCACGTGAGTTAAAGCATCTGGCTTTCTCTGTCCCTCCGTCTCTGGCAGTAACGGCAGCCTCGCAGGGTTGGCGGGAGCTTGTGGGTGAGATGCTCCGCAAACGTTCGTCGCGTGATCAGCATGGCTGACTTCCCTGAGAGCAGTGGTCTCCTTTCTCCCTTCCAGGCTGCCCTCCTCCGCGCTGTGCTTCGGCGGCCCGGCCCGGCCCCGTGGAAAAGGCCTGTCTGCGGGCTGTGGTGCCGCACAGCCACCGGCCGGGATCCGGGGAGGTGGGTGGGGAGCGGGCGCCCCGCCCCGAAGGAGAAAGCGGCAGGTGCGGAGACAGAGAACTTCCGGATGGTCTACCGGTTTGACGCCATCAGAGCCTTCGGGTACTTGTCTCGGCTGAAGGTGGCGCAGACGGCCCTCGCGGTGCTGGCCCTCCCGCCTGGCTGCTACTGGTACTCGCAGGGCTTCGTGACGCTCGGCTCCCTGTGTGTCGCGGGCGGGGTGGCTGGCTTTGCCCTGGCCATGCTCTGCTGGATGAGCTATTTCTTCCGGAGGCTGGTGGGCATCCTGTATGTGAACGAGGCGGGCACTGTGCTGCGGGTGGCGCACCTGACCTTCTGGGGCCAGCGGCAGGACACGGACTGCCCCGTGGCCGACGTGATCCCCATGACGGAAACCAAGGACCGGGCCCAGGAGCTGTTTGTGCGTATCCAGCAGTACAGTGGGAAGCAGACCTTCTACCTCACCCTTCGCTACGGACGCATTGTGGACAGAGAGCGTTTCGCGCAGGTGTTTGGGACGCCGGACTCCCTCAAGTGAATTGGGAGCTGGGTCTCCAGCAGGAAGGCCGAGGATGAAACGGGATCGGGCACCTGAAGGCTTCGGCAAGGCCTCTGGGCACCCGTCTTTTGGGATGCACAGAGTCCTAAGACAGAAGCTAGTGATCGCGTTTCGGAAAGAGGCCCTTAGTACCAATTCATACTGCATCTGTGTGACATTTAGTCAGATAACGGCCAGAAGTTCACAGCTGGTTCTCGGAGGAAGCTGTGTCCGGTTCACTCAGGCAGGGCGGTGCTGTGAAATCGGGAGTCGGGGAGGTGAGGCAGGGAAGCAAGCTCAGGACGTGGCTTGAGCAGACACGGGCGCTGTCACTTCTCGACTGCCTGTCCTGCAGTCCCCGTGTCTCTCAACCCTGTTTTTCCCATCTGAGAAAGGGAAAAATCCTGTCTCCTGGCATGGGTGTGAAAATAAACGGTAAATGTCAAGGTCAGTACAAAGGTGACGTGTGCCGAAAAGCTTCCAGGCAGTCACTAGGGCTTACCCGAGGCCTGTGCCGCCCCCATCGGGCCTCAGCAGCAGGAAAGGACGGGAAGAAGCCCAGGTAGAGTTGGGTCGTGTGACCGCGGCGGAGGGTGCTGGCCAGGCGAGCGCCGCAT